TTACAGAATTTCGCAGTGCCTGCTCTGTGACAAGAGCAGTAGAGCTAGAAAGCATTCTTTTCAAAAGTTGCATAACAAATGGGGTAGAGCTTTAAGGGTTAATAAACCCTTGTGTGTTTTTGTATATATTTTCTGCTAACAAGCAGAAGATATATGCAAAAACATTTTTTTTTAAATCTTTTAAAAAGGGTTTAAACTTACCTGTGTCTTCGCCACACGCTCCCGTCCGAACACCTAAAGAGTCTTGGGCGGCCGCAAGTGATGTTGGTGCGGGCGCATGTTCGGCCGGGAGACGAGGAGAGACAAAAGGTAAGTCTATGGAGCAGCGTGCACCCGCACAGACTCGGTGGGACATGAGTGAAGAGGAGGGCAGGGGAGTCAGAGCTGGATCGGAGACCCGCACCAGCGTTGGAGGGACAGATGAAAAGGACAGTAAAGAAGTAGATGATCGAATAAAGAAAGGCATCATCTATGGTAAATCTCTACAGAAGAATTTGGAAGGGGGGAAAAAAGTTTGACTTTAATGTCACTTTAAGTTACTTAAGTTTTAGTGCCCACAGAGCCCAGTTATGTAAAGAGATGAATGTGCTATACACATTCTATTGAATGACATAGCTGAACAGCTCCAACTTTATATAGAAAAACAAGTTTTGACCAGGTGTAAGGGTTGCATGTCACATTAGGCTTAATTCACTAAAAATTAGTAAGTGATATATTCCATGCGCACAAAAAAAATGCTGTTCTGTATAGGATCAATTTTTGATTATCTAAAGATTTACTACTTCCATGCAATGTTTTTTGCATGCAAAATTAATATTTAATCCACCATTTTCAGTGAATACTGTTTAAAATAAATGGTAAGCTTCATTGCATTCTGCACTGTCCATGGTGCTGATGGTACAAAGGACAGAATAGTCTTTTATTTAAAAAAAAAAGTGTTTTACAGTAAAAAAAAAACCTTTACTTTTATTAAACTAATTTAACTTTATATTACGCATGGAGATTGGGAAGCAAGCAATGGAGACCCTGTGCTCCCTGTTTGTTTGCTTTTTATGTTTGTCTAAGACACATCTGAACAAATTACAGGAGCCAGGTAGCCAATGCTCTTTAAAAATGACAGCTGGCATCCAACGTTTGAGATTTTCTCTAGTTGTTGTCAATGGAGCTGGCTCCTGGATTGGACAGATTGGCTCCTGAATTGTATATTTTTTTGTCCACCCTGGACCAGAATGAAGGTTAGCAGTACTGCCAGAGTTTTACGGCTGTTGTGTACTCACTGGAAGATTTTCCCTCACTCTTTGTTCCTGTGATGATAGGACAAGAAATGAGGCAACAGGTTTCACTTGACAAGAACAGAGACACAGAAAGCAATATAAATCTGTCAGATGATCTGACTCTTCCCTGCTCTACTAAAAAGTGCTTTGGTGATGTCTGTGTCCACACTTGAGATTTCCAATGCGACTCCCTGTCACCAAGGCAGGAATTCAGGAGGCTTCAATAAACTTGACACTAAAAATGTGTTTTTTTGTTCCTGTCTGTGCCCCTATTGAAAAGAGTACCCCTCTATTCTTGTCTTGATTACCTGACACCCAGACAAGAAGTCAAGAACAATCTCCTCAGTTGAAACACTGACGGCCAGATAATCATAACAGAGCTTCTAAGCTGTCTTTATAACTACAAAAAGTAGTTGTAGTTATAAAAAGGTTTTAATTCTTTAATAAACACAGAATAATTATACATAATAATAATCCTTGATATGCTACTTTTGGTATGACATAAGAAATTGTAGTTTAAAGAGTAACTCCACTTTGTTGAGAGAAAATCCCTCCACCGGATAGGTCAATGTACATTGTAAGGATTTTAACAAACCTTGTTGCAGTTTCCTATCTGTTCCTGTTTTGAAACCATTTCCTGTTCCAAACTGAAACAAACTGTGTTCATTATAGTCAGCTGGTAGACGTTCTGTATTCTAATGAGAAAGGTGCCGTCTCGGCATCCCTTTAGTAGTAATTAACCCTTCTCACCCAAAATGAAATTCCCATTGCAAGGGATGCTTAAAATTGTACATGTACACTGTGTACAGAACGCCTCCAGGCCACCATATTGCATTTAATTTTTTGACAGTTTTAGAAAATTACAGTGGCTTCAGTTTCAAATGGAAATGTAATTTTTAACAACATTAAATTACAAAATGGCTTGTGTAGCAATTATTTATGTCATATTTGTTATTCTTAAGTGGAGTTACCCTTTAATGAATCAGGTCCCATAATCAACTATGTATACTGAAATTTTTTCTGCATCTGTAACAAATATGAAAACATCTTTAAGGCATTCTCAGGAATTCAATAAAAACTTTCATGCGCTCCCATCAAAAGATTGAAGTAACCTAGCAAATAAACTTTGAGTAGGTGTATTTGTTAAGTGCTAACTGATAGACTAATCTAGTCGTTAACCACGACAGTAAGGCAATTTGTTTCGCTTAACAAAACTCTACAACCCCAAAAGGTACAAAGGATTGTGTATAAAGATCAGAGGGGTATTGGAGTTGTAATAACACTTTTTCCTGCAGAGAATACAACTTCCTTGCTGGAAGTTCAGAGTTACAGCAGTCAATTTAAACATCAGTAAAACAGAGGTCAGACCAGGCATTTAATGTCTGGAAATACAGTGGTACCTTGGTTCACGAACTTAATTCCCTCCACAATTCTGGTTGCGAACCGAATCAAACTGTGATCAGACCGTGATCTCGACTAGAGGAAGCCACGACCATGTGTCAGAGCAGGGAAGATGGCTGCGGTTCTGTTCGTCACCCGATGCGGAGTTAACGAATGGAAACAACATTTTGCTGAACTTCCTGTTTGCAAACCGAATTGTTAGCGAACAGAAGCGTTCGTGAACCGAGGTACCACTGTACATGGTATAACTGATAGTAGGTCCTCTCTATGCTATGTAGCAAGCTATAACTAAAACAAACATTTTATTTTGTGTAGTGATTACTGTCTAATGCATAAGGCAAAGTCATAACTTTCTTAGGGCTGGAATGCATGTACATGAGAGGCATAAGTAACACATAAGCAAAAATATGCCGCTCTCTACATTGAAGCACTATTCACTGCACAAGCATCTGCCACTTAAACATGTCAAAAAGAGAAATGGAGTCTTTATGACTCCTTTATTATAGCACTGACTAACCTGCGTAGAAATAAGAAAAAAACACCAGTTTGAGTGGAGTGCTGAGGAGTTTCTCAGAAATGTTCCTGTATTTGAATGTTTGACCTGGTGACTAAGCCATCTGTGTAATGAGTATCAACATTATAAATACACAGCTTTTCTCAAATTTCAAGTTACAAAATGTTATGTACAAGCATTGAATTACAGAAGGAAGATTACCACAAACTGTGCAGGAGCGGCAGATACTAGGAATATCTGAACTAAAGCATTGAATGTATGACTTGATGGGATCTGTCACTTGGAGGAAGTAAAGACAGCTGTGTCTTCTGCCCATCCAGGTGCAGACCAGTACATTAGTCTGAGATTGGTAGTGAATTTTGGAAGCATCTATCATTTGTATCAGAGGATCAACATCCCATAATACATTATTTTCCTGCAATTGCTTTTTGTAGCACATGAAGAATCTAGTCTCTAGACAGGAAGTAAAACTGTTGCACAGGAAAGAGAGAGCTGTCCTGCTTCAGGAGGATGCAGCATGATTGCATTTAACTGACAGGCTCTGGCTGGTGGTAGTTGCTTTGGAGTCTCTAATATTCGATTTTATCTACTGTAATGACGATAGATATTCATAAACTTACCAGGTCAGCCTTTTAAACTCAGGCAAACATTAAGTACACACAGTGAGTGCCTGAGTGAAATGTTGATGCAAACATGCAGAATCTATGTGAACTAATACATTAGAGCAGGATGCATGTTTGAACAGTTAATGTATTATTTTTTTAGATTTCCTCAGGCCTGATCCAGTATTGTTATGTGCATCTGTCCCTTTCAAGGGAAGTTCCACACGTCCAAGCAGAAGATCTAATTATTAACGAGCATCAAAACTTCAGTGTTATTGATTCTGTGCAGAACTGTCTGGATTTGTAGGCTAGTTTGGCATCAGCTCCTCACTATTCATTTAAATGTAAAGAAACAGCATAAAGCTCAAACTAGAAATGATCTACTGATCATCACTACATATGTCAGAATGCCTTACTGTTGAGCAGTACGCTGGAAGCTCAGTGCCCTGTGGTTTTTTTTTTTAATATTAGTGTGCCTGGGTTGTAGCAATGGAAGTATGAAGTTTTGAAGCTTCATCTTGTTTCATCTAGCTAGAGTGCAGTACTTTCTAGGCATATGTCCTATCCACTACAGCCTTGGTTCTCAAGTGGTGGGTCGTGACCCAAAAGTGGGTCGCGACCTTGTTTTCAGTGGGTCCCCATGTGCCTTCCCCTTTTCTATGTGAGAGGCTCCACAGCCTCCCCCTAGCGTAGCAATATCAGTTCTTGTGCTGAGCAGCCATTCAGAATATGCTGCCTGGCGCCAAGTGTCAGCTTAAGGTGGGGTGGGCTGGAGCTATGGCCACGAGGGAGCTCCATCCATACATGCATTGCTTACAGCTCCCTCACGTGACCTGTGGAGGTGCCTTGACTGGAGTGATGTCACATTCTGGCTCCTAGCACCTCTACAGGGCATGCAAGGGAGTTGCACAAGCAATGCACGTATAGATGCAGCTCTGTCAAAGCACAGCAGCCCAGCACTGGACCCCAAGCTAAGGATCGCCCGCACCGGAATGCACGGTACCGCAATGCCGTGTGTTCCATTGCAGTGAGACTTGGGTCGCCACTTAATATCTAAGGACAAATGCGGGTCCGGAGGTTACACAGGTTGAGAACCATTGCACTACAGGATATCATATCTACCAACTACCACTATTAAGGCCAGTCTTCAGCTCACTCTCCCACAACATGCACTCCCACAACATGCACTCTATCACATCTGCGTTAGTCTCAGAGAAAGGGCAGCAAGGCTGTTAGTGGGATCTCTTTTTCTCCAAGCAATGTGTCCCTTTTAAGACTGCTTCCCTTGTTCAGTACTTTTAGTTTAAGAGACATCTTTTTGACACTTCCAGCCACCAATCCATCAAAGAAGAAATCCTCATTGAAAACTGGGTTTCGGCTATTTTTTATAATGGTGCTTCTCTGACGGTGAACTTTACCGGGGTTAAGATAGAGGACCGCACAGCAGTTCACACCTTTTAGATCACAGAGTTTATCAAAGAGGTGTTCCGCAGCAATTAATCGAACTCTGAGCCTGGCATTGGAAGGGTCATATTCTGCGGACAGTCTCATACTGCCTCCTTTACTAAGGCTAACATTGTGTTCCTTCTGTAAAAGGTCCAAGGGCAAAGTACCTTGTTGACCAGCAATACCAGAACCCTTGGCTCCTCGTACCCTTCTTCTCGGCATGCTAGGGCTTGTGTCTGCTGAACTGCATTCATCTGTGGAAAGTGAACTGTTTCTAGCAACAGAATGCTTGAGCTTCATAAGTTTTGACTGTGTGTCTGGGGTAAATATCTTAAGTAGGGAGACAGAACGGGAAAGTAGTGGTGAGCTAAAAGGTGAGGACTCTGCAGAGGAGCAAGTATCACTTTCACCACCACTAAAATATCGGTAGGGATTCATCAAGGACATTCCAAAGTCTGATGGATTCAGCTGGGACCCTCCTCCCCCTTCTGTTGCACTCCGTCTCTGAGAACTGGGAGAACTGGATTGTGATGGACATGGAGAAAGAGAGCCCTGCTCACTATGAAAGAGAGATTCTTTTCGTCGTGTATGTGGACTCTCCATAAGAGTCACAAACCCATAAGATGTCTGAGCTTTAGGTACATAAGGGAGAGACATGGCAGTTTGAGATTGTGGATCTGCATTAGTACCCAGATCTTCTTCCGATGCCCACTCATCAGCACTTTCAATCTGAATGATATGACGGTTTGCAGCCTTCACAAGGTTTCGACTTTCTGAAGTAGTTTTGGTTGGTAAACGAGGGCTACGCTGTGGCTTTCGGCCCGACAAATTTTGCTCAGAAGCAGAGGTTCCGATATTGGTTTTTGATGCAACTCCTTCACCTTCAGCTGCACCCCCTTCAGTTGGCATCAATTTTGGAGGGATGAAAAAATCTGGAATTTTGTCTGGGGTCAGGACATTGCTATAAGATCCACCTTTAGACTGTTTGTCACCAGCTTCTCCTGTTTGTCGGCCACTGCTGTGGTCTACTGTGCCCCGAATCCTCTCCAGAAGCCACATTTTTTTTAACCTAGGAAAAGGGAGCAGGAAAAAAATTAAATCAAACATTAAAGCTCCAGCACACTATGCTAAAGAATAGAAATAGTTCTGGTAATAATAATAATAACAGTAATAATAGTATTAATAATAAACTGAGCTCCTTTTAGTACAGAGAAGGATCCTAGTATTGGGCTCTGTGAGAAGGACTTGCTCGTAAGAAATGAGAGAATGCTCAAGGTTCTGGTGGCAAGTTACAATATAATCTAGAGACAAATTAAGTCTGATGACACATTGTGCCTCTGGTGATATTGCCTGCCTCAGGCTACTGGTAGCATTGTCAGAATCATGCCATCCCATTATTTGTCGGTGATGATATAGTTTAGTTCTAGTGCCACGATATCACTATAACCCTGGTCTTTTTCTAGTGACATGATTCTGATTAAGTAATCTGACGCTTTTAGTTTGGTTCTAGTTGGGGTAGCATGATTTCACTGCTAGCTTAGAACCCACATATTTCTTTATTGCCTTAAGCAAGCCATTAACCTGAATGGGGAAATCCCCCTGCTGGGCTATTGTATTCTGACAGTGGTGGATGCGCCGCTGCCAAAATACATAGTTACATAGTATTTGAGGTTGAATAAAGACATAAGTCCATCAAGTCCAACCTATTGTGTGTATGTGTATGGTCCTACTGATGTGTGCGTATCTATCGGTCCCTGTATGTTCTCATTCTTAAGAGTACTAGTACCCATGTATGTTATGGCCCCTGAGGAAATCGTCCAATCGCCTCTTGAACGATTCCACACTCTCAGCAGAAATCACAGCATGTGGCAGCGAGTTCCAGACCCTGACCGATCTGACTGAGAAGAAACCCCTTCGCCCCTTGTGCTGAATTTTTTTCTCCACCAATTTTAGGTGGTGGCCTCTCGTCCTCGTCATGGAGTTAATTGTAAAAAGTTTGTCGCTAATGTTGCTATCCCCGGTAAACATTTTTTACATGAAAATCATGTCCCCCCTCAATCTCCTTACTTCCAATACAAACATGTTTAAATTTAGTAGCCTGTTCTCATAGCTCAGGTACTCCATCCCCTTTATGAGTTTGGTTGCCCTCCTCTGGACTCTTTCCAGTTCAAGGACATCCTTTCTGTTCACTGGTGCCCAAAACTGGACCGCGTACTCCAGATGAGGCCGAACCAGTGATCTATAAAGTGGCAAAATTATAGACTTGTCCCTGCAAAACATTCCCCTCTTAATACAGGACAGGACCCTACTTGCTTTGTTTACAGCAGCCTGACACTGTGAGCTGTTATTCAGCCTGTGGTCTACAATGACCCCCAAATCCGTTCCCCTTTCGTTCTTCCCCAGCAGGGCTCCCATTAGTGTGTAATTCGCTTTCTTATTTTTAACCCCAAAGTGCACAACTTTACATTTATCGACATTAAACCTCATCTGCCATGTAGTTGCCCACTACCCTATTTTATCCAGATCCCCCTGTTTTAATGTCTGATTCAGTGTCTATTACCCTCCCAATTTTGGTATCATCAGCAAACACTGAAACATGGTTGTTTACCCCCTCCCCAATGTCGTTAATGAATAGGTTAAACAGCATGGGGCCCAGCACAGAACCCTGAGGCACGCCACTAATGACCCTAGCCCAATCCGAGAAGGTGCCATTTATCGATACCCTTTGTACCCATTCCTGTAGCCAGTTTTCTATCCAATACCCCAAGAGTAACTGCAGCTGATTGGCTGTAGTCACTATTCAGCTGCAGTTTTCAGACCAGTTCCATTTACATAAGTTGATTTTTCAGAGGGGTGCTGATGGGGCCACACACAGCTCGAAATTCGGCCGAGTTTGCTGGACTTGGATTAATTTGAGCAGTGAATGGTCGCCATTACCTATCAATATTTTTGTTTCTTAGCAAACATATTATTCAACTTAAGTGTAAAGTTTACAAGAAACAATGCATCTCCTTACTGCTTAAAGTGACACTAAACTCAGGAGTTAAATCTTAAAATGCATTCATGCACCTTAACTAGTAACAAACATGTAGCTTATGTATCACTCAGCTCTGAATTGGTGCTGACATTGTCCTTTCTTCTGGAGGTTGGCTACTTTTATTCCCCATGGTCCCTGTATGTGTTATAAAGTAGCCACCGCTCCAAACTCACTATTGTGATGGACTACAATCCTAATACAAATTAGTAAACTAAACATGAGATTGCTTGGAGCGGTGGCTACTTTATAACACATACAGGGACCATGGGGAATAAAAGTAGCCAACCTCCAGAAGAAAGGACAATGTCAGCACCAATTCAGAGATGATTTGAGGATCTACAGCTGAGTGATACACAAATAAGATACAATTTTATTAATAGTTAAGGTACTTGAATGTATTTTTAAGATATAACTTCTGAATAACTTCTGAAGTCACTTTAATACAGATTTCTGAAATCTAATTTTTAAAATGTATTTCTATCATTCAAACTTGACGTAAAACTTAAAAGCCAAACTTCACCATTTAGTTCCATGTTTGTACCAGAGAAAGGATAATGCTATCCATTGGACACCACATTGTTTACTTCCCACTATGTATTGATTAAATGTATTGATTTTACATGCCATTTAAAAAAATGCAAGCCATGGTGGGGATCCTGCATTGTCTAAGTGCCCATTAACGCTGAGCGTTTAATCACGCGATTTCTGCCGCGATATCGCGCATACTTGCCACCCGATATCGCGAGAAGTCGCTCGACCAATGATTTTCAATGGAGCTATTCTATTCTACAGCTCCATGTCGATGTGCAGGATTGTGCGAATGTCGCACGATTTTTCTATTTTTGCATGCAGCCCGACGGTGAAGGTCGCCCAAACAGTCGCGCTATCCCGACCGCGCGGAAATCCGCTCGAGGTAAGTGTCGCTCAGTGTGAATGGGGCCTTATGGAATGTTCTCTTTATAATGCAACAAAACACAGAGCAGGCACCACCTCCTAGTGCAGTATGTTTATTGACCAAATGATGAAATAAAAAATAAAAAAGAGTAAAAAGTTTCTACTCACTATTGCTAAGGGAAACCAGGCATATCAATAACAGAGTCCAATGGTCCAAGAACACTGTATAGTGGTAAGTGAACCCCAACGGGGGGGGGCATGCTAACGCGTTTGGGGCAACCAACCCCTTCCTTAGGGCAAGACCTAATGCTGCAGAGAACACTTTGTAATTGGTAGAAGGGCTCACTTCCGCCCAGCTTTTCCTACCCTATTTATTTATTTTACTGCAGCTTTGCTTGCTGTGCTTTACTTGCTGTGCTATGTTTTTTTCTTAATGCCGTGGTATGATCATAGCAAGACCATTACGCTGCTTTATAACTGGACCTTTTGTTCCTAGTAATGTATTGATTAAAATCAGAGAAAGTAGAAAAAAAATTGAATTCATGATTTTATATATTTTTTTAATAAAAACAGTAAATAAAAAATGAATTGACAATACGGGGTGTCCTGAAAATTGACCTGATTATGTTAATGGGATGGCTACCCTTCAAAGCTGGAGCCTCTTTCAAAATCTGGGGTATTCAGGCTAAAATTAGTATAACAGTGTCACAGTGCCTTTGTAATGGCATTCATGTGAGTACAAGTTATTATTTTGTGGATTTGGACATTTTACATAGAACCCGAGTGGCTTCCAATCATGTGATCACTGTATCTATTATGACAGTGATCACATGTATGCTGGATGTTTCACTGACAAATAAGCCCTCAACCTGCAGTCGCATTTATTTAATACTGTAACTGTAAGATACAATTACAGGAAAAATCATTAAAAAAAAAGTTAAACTTTTTTGTTGCTTTTTTGAGCATTTGTCAGCCAGTGCAGGGTTTCTATTAAAACGGTGTATTATTTTTTTATGTGCCCTTATGTTACTGTTTCACGATTTGGAACGGTTTTATATTTATTATTTGTTGTTGTTGTATTTGTACATAAAGAACAAAACCCTTAATAAAATGTATCTAAAAAACAAAACGGTGTATGAAATATGTGTATTTCATGTATATCGCGTATGCTGATGATGTTTAACTTGGCCTATGCATCTAGTCATCAATGACAACTGGTCACAAGAGGATTATTCTTCTTGTGCTGGGGACCAAATTTCAGTTTGTGTATTGTTCTGGGAGTGTGTACAGTCTTGTGGTGTTCCCTCAAATAGGCCTTCTACACTAAACAGTGTCAGAAACAGTTATTAAGGTATTAAGTTACATGACATGTATCTAGCACCTGTGTATGCCAGGCCTTACTTTGTAGACTGAGACACACTTTTCTATAATCATTTTCCTTGAGTCTCAAATATGCTCACTGAAACATGCTGACATGTGTATGAAGTCTTATATTGCCTAAACATATTCCCACTCACATCCTTTATCAGAAATATTCCTCCACTGCATTCAAACCAAACTTGAAATCCATTTTTAAAAGAAATGGACTCACTTCTGGATTATCTCCAGCCTTCCTTTTTGATCTTATGACCTGCTCCCTGCCCACCCTCCTATTTACTTTATTTTTCCTTGTCTCGATCAATCTTTAGGGGTAATATGGCCCACTTTGTGGGTGGACAGTGGTTGGTAAATGGTAATTTGGTTGGTGTAAGTTATTGCAGCTTTAGAAACGGGGAATGTACTCCAGAGACTGCAAGGTCTCTGCAGGATCTGTGGGGGGCTTTGCCAGATCTCAGGGGGGCTGTGCAGGATCTGTGGTGGGCTTTGCAGCCTGCAAACCCCCCACAGATCCTGCAAAGCCCACCACAGATCCTGCACAGCGCCCCTTAGATCTGGCAGACTGCAGGGTCTCATGGGGGCTTTGCAGGATCTATGTGGGCTCTGCAGCCCCATGGTGGGCAGAGCCCATTACAAATCCTGCACAGCCCCCCTGAGACCCTGCAGACTGCAGGGCCTCCAGGGGGCTGTGCAGGATCTGTGGTGGGCTCTGCCCACCATAAACCCCGCAGAGCTCACCACAAATCCTGCT